TTCTAGGTTTTCCCGATTTCTTTTGTTGACAGTTCTTCTCCTTTCCTTTGTCTTTCTTTATCAATGGATAATCCAGCTTATAATGACCGGTTTTTCCACAATTGTAGCATGACCCTTTCGATATGCCACCCTTGTTGCCTTCATTCTTCGAGGACTTTGGTTGTTGTCGAAAGTTGATGAGATTCTTGTCCGAGTGTTGAATACCATTTTTCCGGATATATCTATTATATCTTCTCACAAACAACCTTATATCTTCACTTGTATCTTCCTCATCATCAAGCTTCCCTTTCTTTTCCCTTTTCTCATGTTTGTCAAGACTTATGAGCACTTTCTCATGTTCATCAAGCTTACCAAATAAAGTTGTGATGTCCAATATAGTGAGATCATTGGCTTCCTTGATCATCGTGACCTTTGGTTTCCATTCCCTACTAAGACATCTTAAAATTTTATTAGTAGAAACTTCATTAGAAATGAGTCTTCCAAGTGTATATAAGCGATTGATTACATGAGAAAATATCTTTTGTATTTCAGAAATGGTTTCACCTTGCTTCATGTGAAAGAGATCAAACTCTTGTGTCAAAGTATTGATTCGAGCTAGTTTGACATCATTAGTTCCCTCATGGGCAACTTGCAATGCGTCCCACATAGCTTTAACAGTAGTACAATGGCAAACTCTATAATATTCATAAACTCCCAAATAAGATATTAGAATATTTCTAACTTTCCAATCGTAACTATACTTTTCTCATCTTCTTCGTTCCATTGTGCTTCCGGCTTAGGCTCATGGTTATTTCCATAGGACCATTTTGAGTAACGCTCCATACATTTCTATCAATGGAATTGATATGCACACGCATACAATCTTTCTAATAATTATAGTTCTCAACTGTAAAAATCGATGCTCTACTGTAAGCCCCTTTTGGTTCGTTAGCCATTTTCTAAAAAGTTATATGCGAAGCACTAGATGAACCGGTGCTCGTGATACCACTTGTTAAACGATGAAAATGATCTAGAAGGGGGTTGAATAGATCACTAATTTACTACAAGAGTCTGCGCTTAAAAATATGGTTTTAAAAAATTGTGCGGAAGCGTCCGAGGAACCAAGTCGTCTAAATGAACTGTTACCGAAAAGATCGGATATGCGACAAGCCAAATGGAACAACAATTCTAATGAGAAACAAAATCAATATTTTGATGATTAATCAATAAAAACAACAACACTTTAGAGTTTCCAATGTCCAATCACTTATAAAGTGTAAATTTAATTTGATAATAAAGCAAACAGTTTGTGTGCGATCAATTCGTCGAACACTTGGTGTGCAAAACACCCCAAGTGTTGTTTCCTATGTAATGTAAGTACATAACTTTTGTAATTACAATCCAAGTAATTTCAGCACTACACTGCAGCAGAATTTTATCGATCAATTGATATTACACAAACGTTAATAATTCAATGTAAAGAGATAGAGAAAGATAGAACAACACCAGATTTATTTAGGCGGATCCCCTTTCTTCCTCGCTTAGGGTACGTTTGCCCCCAATTCTAAAACTAGAATTGAGATATGTATTATCTTGTTGCAAAAATTTATACAAGAGAATCAATAGTCACCACACACTCAAAACTAGTTGTTGATGTTGATATTATGTCTTCTCTCCCCTTGATTCAAGATGAATCAAGTGCCTCAAACATGTTGAACAAACCTCTGGTTACCGCTACTTGTCTGAACAACTCCGTCGGTCTTCAAAAATTTCACTCGGCTGATTTCAATCCCTTTCGAACCCAAATCTTCCTTGCACAATCCTCTGGTTAACGCTACTTGATTGAACGAACCCACCGTTCTTTAATCCCCTTCGCTCGGCTGAATCTGGGAAGAAAAGATTTGTGCAAAAACCCCCAAGTCCTCAAGATCTTGAAGGACAAAGCCCTAACGATTTTATTTCAAGAAAAACCCACAAAAATCTCAACCTAAAACGAGATACACAATCCTACGTTTGGACGTTATCACCTCAATGATGAAAATTATCAACAAAAATTGTTATGCATAATTGTTGAGAAAATTCAAGAATGAGGATGAAGATGACGAGAACAATTTGGTGTATATCTTTCACTTTTTTTGTCATATGTTAAAATGATGAGACAATATATATATATATATATATATATATATATATATATATATATATATATATATATATATATATATATATATATATATATATATATATATATATATATATATATATATATATATATATATATATATATATATATATATATATATATATATATATATATATATATATATATATATATATATATATATATATATATATATATATATATATATATATATATATATATATATATATATATATATATATATATATATATATATATATATATATATATATATATATATATATATATATATATATATATATATATATATATATATATATATATATATATATATATATATATATATATATATATATATATATATATATATATATATATATATATATATATATATATATATATATATATATATATATATATATATATATATATATATATATATATATATATATATATATATATATATATATATATATATATATATATATATATATATATATATATATATATATATATATATATATATATATATATATATATATATATATATATATATATATATATATATATGATGCCTTGACCAACTAACAAACATAACAACAATTTGAAGTGAGACAGATAAGAAAAATAACAGGAATTTCGCGAGCGGTTGACCTAAGCTTAAAGGGGGTCGACTTGAGCACACCCGAGAGAAAGACTATGCAAAAATTGAAGTTGTGCGTCGATCAAAACATTGTATATGCGTCAACGCAAGCTTGCCCAAAAATTACAAACACATAGACTTACAATATGAGTCGACCAAAGGGTCGGGGCGAGCACACCCGAAAGCAAAGAATAGAAAACCAACTTATGTGAGTCGACCAGAGCCGAGTTTAACTCAACTCAAACACCCTGAACTTCCAAAAATGAATTTTTTGCTCATAGTTTGGTCCACCTAAGCTATGTTTATGCATACCTAAGTCACCTAACATGATCAAATACACACAAGACATATATGACATGCTCCTATATGTATAGACACATGATTTTAGAATTTTTTGTGCATTGTAAAGTATGAATGCAAGATAAGACGCGATGATACCGTCCAAATTACAAAGTACTAGCTAATACACGTTTTGACATCATTAAAATAAGGACTAAGACACATTGCCCTCACACAAATTATCCAAGTTAACGTGAAAAAAGAGTTACTATTGAGAAATGTACGTTTGAAACACCATGCATTTTATTAAATAGAAATTTACTTTCTTTTACCAATTGCTTTTTACTACATTTATTTTACTTTGAAATTATTATTTTTTTGTTGCTTTATTTTACCAAACTTTTATAAAGTTTAGTTCTTTTCAACAAACAATCAAAAACACCATTTTCACGACAAATGAATATCGTCGAAGTGTTCTATAATTTTCCAAAAATATATTAGACACAATAATTATGTCCTTACGATTCATTGGTTGATCCTACAAATAAATCAAATTGATTTTGTAGAAGACCAGCGATTATTTATTGGTTGATCCTGCAAATAAATCAAATTGATTTTGTAGAAGACCAGCGATTATTTATCAATTTTTACAGTAAACAGTTAGATAAGTGAAAAATGAAACAGTAAAAATTACATAAAATTTATACACTTATTTTCACATTTTTCATTTTAATTTTGATATCTTATTTTATATTTCCATAGTTTAAACATATTTTTCTCCGATAAAATTGTACTTTTAATACTCTCTTCAACTTATTGTCTTAATTAAAAAACTTTTGTATATTAGACAAAACCAAAATTTATCTTATTAATATTACTTAAATAATTCATCTAGAAAAACCAAAATTTATCTAATCTAATATTACCTAAATAATTCATCTCAAAAATACATCGCACATGCCTTAATCTAGTATAAATAATTGTGATGTCCTGTGTAAAAAAATTAACGGCCCATATCAATTAATCTCTTCAAATTAATAAAATGAATAATTGTCTTAGAAAATAGCATTACTTTAACTAAATTTAAACTTTAATAATTAAATCTTTAAATTTGAGAAAATTGAGTATTGAAGTAAACTTTCATTAATCTAGAATTATTTAATATCGAATGTAAACGGTATAAACTTTCATTAATCTAGAATTATTTAATATCGAATGTAAACGGTACCTTTTTAAGGTATGAGTAATATAAACAATGTCCAATTATTCAAAAAAATGCCATGAACAATTTCTTATAACTATTTGAGTAACAATCACAATAATCTATGTGTAGAGAAAGATAAAAAGCACAGATTTATTATAACTATTTGATTGCTGCATTATTCTAGACTAGTTCACCAATTTCGATTGAATAAAGATACATTGACATCACCAATAATTTTTTTTCGTAAAATTTAATGAATTGAACGAAATCACAAATACACACTTGATCGTGTCAGACATCAGACACATCTTTATTCAGATGTGCGAGTGCGACAGAAGTAGACATAAGACACATCTTTATTCAGATGTGCGAGTGCGACAGAAGTAAAAATCTTCTCAAGATAAACAATCAGCGTGAAAGTCCAGTTTATGCATACTACAGAGTTCAAATATCTAAAGAGTTGAAATCTTGAATTCTGGACTGAAAAACATCATCATAATGCACCATTCTTACATTCTCCGGTAATTTCGATCTCTTCGACACCAAAAAAATTAAAAGTTCACACACATACACACAGAACATGCATGAGAGAAGATGAATGCTCTATAATATGCTTCTATCATAAGGAAAATTGACCAATCTTAACCTTCTTCAGATAGGCATGTAACTGCACAACTCACCCTTCTGAGCTTAGAAGACGAACGCAGTGTGGTTGCCGACGGAAAAAAATAATCTCATGATGCGCTATCACTTTCATATTCTTTCTTAATGATTTCAAACACAATTTCGTTCCAAGTATCTACAGGTCCTGGCATGCACCAATGCAAGCAATCTTGTGGTGGCGGCCTTCCATCTCTGCCTCGTGTTGTAATCTTATTAGGATCCGTGCTCCTATACGGACCAGGATGACCATCGTGCCGATATTGAAAGGCTTCAGTAATATCCATCAATATCATCCTCGATCCATTTGTCGCCTTTTTTACCACACGGTTAAAACCTGTAACCTGTTGCTTGTACATCGCAGCATTATACTTATTTTCCACCAATTCACCAGGCACAAGAGGCTTAACTTTCCCGGTGCATGATCCACCGGTGTTCCATCCTCCACCCTCATAATGATCGGGCGAATAGGAGCGTAAAATTGTAAGCCCGGTATAATTAGGATGTGTAACAAGAGTGGTTAAAATTGTTTCAACGGATATACCAAATGCTTCAACACTGTTGATCTTCATGTGCTGAGACTTGTCCGGCCACCATAATTGTCCTCCTACTATCTCGTTGTTCAAAATGTATACAGATTGCTTAGTAAACCAATGGCCAGAAGAAAGAACAACTACGTCAAATGTTGGGAGAAATTCCATCAACATCTCATCAGGGGATTCAAGATAGAGTTTCTCCACACCCGCTGGAGCAAAGTCAAATGGTTCTGAATTGTGTTTGACAAGCCATGACGACCATATCCGAATAATCGTCACAGATGTAGACTCAAAATAGTATCGCCTCATGTTGCGAGTACCCTGATTCTTTGGCTCCTCCACCTGAAATATCATAACTTTGCAGTTAAAGTTGAACCTTTAATCTATGAATTACTGACACAGACACTAGATACCAAACACGACACTGATCATTCTATTAGTTATGCTAATAAAATTAGTATCGACATGTTGAAAATAACCTGCCAAAGAATGCACATCATTGACTCCATCTGGTTTCGAGCAACTGAATCTCCAATGAAAGCCAATGTCTTGCCTCTCATTAGCTCCAAAAACTTCCTCGGATCAAATCGTGGGATGTCACACTCAAAAGGCTTCCATCGCCAGTTCTCATAATCCTTATCAGGCCTACCATTACCCTGGCAATTCTGCGTCTGTGTCAGTACAGGACACGACTTGTTTGTGTATAACGGTCCCGATGGATCATAGATCCAATTTCCATGGTATAAATCACAACCTAATTAACAATGAAAATAACCATTCAATAAACTGAGTAGATATATAGAATTAGAGTAATTTCAAGAAAATCAATGGAAAGAAAATTAAGTGTGTTTAGTTTTGAGATGAAATTGACGTTGAATGAATTGATTCTGTTAAACCGGTTATGAACTTATCACTAAAAATGAGTTGAATGGAAAGTGATTTGTGTTCGGATACATGCATGTAAAAGAGGATTGAACAACAAAATGGAGGCTAAAAATCAATTATAGAAGCAAAACCTACAAACTCAAACTTCGTGTTAGAATTAATTATAAAGGCAAATTCAATTATACAGTTATACACGATAACATCCAAACATGTCAAAACCAATTCTACTTCTCTAGAATCTATTGTCTCTTTCAAAAATTGAACCAAACATACTTAAGAATGGTAAGTAAAATGAAAAATTGAAAACAAGTTCGCGCAACCGTGCAAGACAATTAGACAACAACAAATGCAATATGAATTACCGAAAACCGCAAAGGATTCATTATTGCCTTTTATTCAAAAATTACCTTTTACAATTGAGGAATTGCTACCAACCACTGGAATACGTGCTTTTGAGGCCAAACCCGAAGTTTCTAAGCCATTCACCTCCTTAGTTACAGGAACAATTTTCGGCGAAGTAGATTCCCTAAAGAGTACTTGTGAATTCGAATTATTACCAATTCGTTCTATCTTGCTATTATCACTCGACACAACATTCGAAACTATTGAAGGTTGCAAATCAAAGAGTGTTTTATTCCCTCCTAAACCTAAACTTGCATTCATTTGAATTTGTGAACTCTCTACACCATAGAAATGACCATGAACAGATGAACTAATAGGGTATGACAGAAAAAACCATGAAGCAAAAGTTATGATTACCACTACTACTCCAATTGAAACAACAACCCAAGAAAGTGGTTTCGAATTCGAAGAACCATTAGGGGATGCAACCATCCAAGTCATGTCTTTCATTTAACTTCAAATTCCACACTAAACTAAACCCTAAAGCTTATATAAACTTTCCGAAATATAGAAATCGTTCTCATAGACGGCGCCAATGATCTGACGAATATCATACAATGAGTTGTTGAGTTGTACCAAATCAAATCACCATCAATCACCAAATAGAAACCTGCTATATCCACCAAAATAGATCAAACAAAACAATCAAAAAGTGAGTGAAAATGACAACAAACTATATGATATGAACATTAAAGCCAAAAAAAAAAGGGTCATAGTCATACTATAACTTTTACTTGCTCTTGTAGCACAAATATATAAGAGAAATTCAGAAACCATAAAGAAACAAACTTTAGGTTCAAGATTCAAACCCCACAAGAAAAAAACACATTTTTCAAACGAAATTGAAAAGCCCAGAAAGGGAAAGTGATAAAAACAATTGGGGTCAAACAATGAAATCACAAAAGTAGAAAAACCTACGTTTGAAGGAGGTGAATGTGTATACAAAGTTGAAGAAGTAGTTAATGGAGTAACTCACTGACACGCTCTTTTATGATATACATTCTTAATTCTTCTTTCTTCATCTAAGAAATCACCGTGTGCACGTGAGAGAGAGAGAGAGAGGACGAAGTTATATGGATTCTTTCTTACACTTCATTGACTAACATGATTTTTTGTAGGAAAGAATGTAGGCAAAACTCAGACGTATTAAATGTGGAATAATGAAGAATTGATACTGGAATATTAAATGCTGATTGATTGCTTTTCATCTTTGGGAATATTTCCTCTTATTTCTAATATAAGCACTAAATTGTACCCAAAATATATATATATATATATATATATATATATATATATATATATATATATATATATATATATATATATATATATATATATATATATATATATATATATATATATATATATATATATATATATATATATATATATATATATATATATATATATATATATATATATATATATATATATATATATATATATATATATATATATATATATATATATATATATATATATATATATATATATATATATATATATATATATATATATATATATATATATATATATATATATATATATATATATATATATATATATATATATATATATATATATATATATATATATATATATATATATATATAATATATATATATATATATATATATATATATATATATATATATATATATATATATATATATATATATATATATATATATATATATATATATATATATATATATATATATATATATATATATATATATATATATATATATATATATATATATATATATATATATATATATATATATATATATATATATATATATATATATATATATATATATATATATATATATATATATATATATATATATATATATATATATATATATATATATATATATATATATATATAAGTAATAAAAAATTTTTTAATGATTTTAAGGTAAAATACTATTTTTATCTCTATAACTTTGTATTCAGATTAGTTTCTTAATTTTTTTTTCGTGTTAGATTGATCCTTTAACTTTTTAAATGTATTATATTAGTCTTTTTGTTTAATTAGTGATGAATTTAACGATCGATTTTTGAATTTTTTCGTGGTTAATTAGACGAAAAGGATTAACATAGTACGTTTTGAAGAGTTAGGGACCAATCTGATACGAAAAAAATTAAGGGGCTAATCTGAATTCAAAGGTATAGTTAAGGGATCAAAAATGATATTTTGTCTATATTTAAACAAAAATTATCTATCATTATTATATTCAATGTCATTATTTTAAATATCTCTATTTTTTTTTAATTTCTATGTTTTTAACAATTTTCAAGATAAAAAGTATGAGTATAATTAAAAAGAGTATAAGATTTAAATGTATTTAGAAATTTTTCTTAAAATGTTGGTTTCTTTTTTTGTAAAATTGCTTATATATGAGATCAAAGAAAATATTTCACAAGGCAAAAGTAAAAAAAGTTTTAACAAGATTTCCTAATCTTTTGCTAGGGTTTGTTTTTTCTTCTCTTTTTTAGAAGCATGTTCTTTCAGTCTTACGCTTGTGTGTTAGATTTGATCTACCGTGTTACCAGAATATAATGAAAAGTCAGAATATTGAAGCGTCATCTTTACAAAAGGAGCAAGAAGAAGAGGGATTTTGCTTTGACCTGGATGAAGATGAAGATTATTCATGCGATCTACGGTGGTGCTTCGAGGGGAAGGTTCTTGTGTGATAGACCAGTTCATGTGAGATCAATGAAGGTAAGAGTAGCAGATATGTGTAGACCAATGAAAGGTATGACTATCAAACATAGGGGTGTTCGTGAAGGTGAGAAAGGTACATAAGAATGGGGGTTGAATCGTGTTTTCCATTTCTTTAATTATACATCTGACCAAAGTTCAGAATCTGAACTGGTGTTCAAATTCTATTTATACTTAGCAGCGGTGTTAACAAAAGCAAATAAATGAAAACAAAAGCACAAAGATTTATATTGGTTCTCCTCCAACTGAGAGTAGTTTAGTCTCCTTGCTTCACACGAGATTTTCATTATAACCAAATCATGATTACAATCATTTATGTATTCTCCATAAGACTTTAACACTAGTCAGATCCTCGGTCCAAGACTTTCTATTTAAGTCCTCCAGACTCAAGACTTCTGTTCCAAGTCCCATGAAACGAGTCTCCTTGCTTGAACCCCTCAGATTCAAGACTTACTGCTCCCAATTTCATGAACCGAGCCAACCTGTCCAATTCACACTGGCCCAAGACTTCTTGCTTGCATGCCCCTGACACAAGACTTCTTGCTTAATCAATCCCCATGATTAAGTCTTTCATTACTCAAACACGTAGCATGAGACTTACATAACTCAAGCATCTTGGCAAGATACTTCCTTGCTTGTATCCCAATAATATAAGACTTCTGCTCAATCAATATACTTGATTAAGAATTTCAACACTCAAGCATATAGCAAGAGACTTACATAACTTAAACATCTTGACGAGAGACTTAATCTAAACTGCTAAACAAGTTCAGTAGAATAGATAGCAAGGTGTACTTGATACTAATATCAAAGGTACAAAAAATCATCATTAACAAAGACCTAAAGCTCTTAAGATTTCTAAGATATTCAATGTGTAAAAAAATCTTAAGGCTTTTACAATTACAACCTATAATAGAAAATCTAAATAAACTATTGAGTTGATAATTGCTGATCTTGTTACACCATCTTCTGGCCAATCCTTGTTAAAGATGCAGTTTGAACCTTCACCCACTTATATAGTTTTTGTAGTAGACTAGCCGTTGGATGAGATAACTTGATCAGTGTTTTTTCTTTACTCCATAGTACAAGAGCCGTTGAAGATAGATACACCAAAACATCTTGATCCATGTGTAACATGTTTAACCGTTGAGTCTTTAAGAAGATCTTGTATTATAAAGTTGTTGGAGAGGATATCCGTAAAGCACGTCAACCTTTCTTGAGCCTTTTAAACTCATACTCCAATTGACTAACTGGTTTGACAATGCAACTTGCTTTATGCAATACGGACAACTTCAGCTTTATCACCAACTCTGAACGATACTAGAAGTCAATTTACATTCACCAAGTGTAGAGACAATTATGTTGCTTCTTTTGATGATGAGACCATTAGCTTCATAGTATACGTTAGACATCACTTAGCAAATGCTCTTCAGATTTTGCATCACCAGAAGCTAGCAATTCAGCTTCTCTCATGTGTGCCTTTGTATATTAGATTCTCTATCTGATATTTACAAGTATTAGAATCTGCATACAAGAAACAAACATCAAATAAAACCATTGTTCTTTAAATACTTTGTTATCATCAAAACCCAAGAAATACATGTCATGAACAAATCTTGTTCTAACAATCTCCCCATTTTTGAGGATGACAAACATAAGTATTTAATAGAATAATGTTGGGTAGTTACAAATTTCTTTGCAACATCAGAGTATGAGGTTTGTAAGCTTCTCCTGAGTCTAATAGTCCAAAGTTGAGTTCTTTTACCCACCCTAAGTACCACTTTAAGAAAAAGTAATTTAGTTTTCTTAGTAACATCAGAGTCTGGGGTTTGTAAGCTCCCTATAAATCAAATTATTCCAAACTTGAGGTTTGTAAGATTCCCCTAAGTCAAATCGTTCCAAACTTGAGGTTTATAAGTCCCCCTAGTTCTATATTTAAGAAAACCAAAAATAATATTTTAACTTCCTTTGCCAACACCAAAATACGAGGTTTGTAAGCTCCTTTTGAGTTTGATAGGCTAAGGTTGAGGTTTGTAAGCTCCTCCTTAGTTAAAATGTGTCGCCCGAGCAAGATAACCATAATAACATAAATTTAAATAACAAAATTATAAATGACCATTATGTATAGATTGAATAGGTTCAATTTTCTAATTAAATACTTACTATCATTTCTCCCTCTTTTGTCACATCAAAAAGAATTAAAAAAAGAAAGAAAAAGAATTATGGTCAGAAATGTATAACAGGTCATTAAGGATTGTCAATGCAATTATTGGTCGTAACAGTCCATAAAATCGAGTAAAGGATTCTTATTTCGTCGATTAGGATACTCAGAAGTCATTATAAAAGCATCCAAAACCTAATTCATTTTCATCAACATCTACAAGAGTCATGGAGTCATCAACTGAGAGCAAAAAGGCTTTTATAGTGACATAAATCACACAGAACTCTACAAGCCTGAATGTCCAAAACCTTCAAAAACTGGAAATTTTTTAGTCATCCACTATTGGGCTCGTGCCCTCGGCAAATATTACTTCTGACAAAGCTACGTCAGCAGTTCCTCAACATCCTATAGAAGTAGGTTCTTTAGTTTCTGCGATGAAGCCTAGAAAGAAATCTATGAAGAGGTCTAGGAGAAGAAAGTTCAATAAGAGGTTTTACCATTCTGTTATCCCAGAACCAGACGAGGAAGATATTTATGAGGATGAACCAGAAGTTGACT